ATATGTGCAGGTTTAAGTGGCCAGAGCCAAACTGCAAACTCTGTGTAAGTGCCAAAAACTATTACAGTTACGCTATTGCATACATACCTAAATGGCATGTAAAGTGAAATAAGGTTACACACTATGTGTCTTAACAAAATGTAATGAAGAGAGAGAAACTGTTTACACAGTGAAAACACCCCAGAGTATTACCAGGGAATTGGGACCCTGGACTAGGAATCTCTGCTACCCTGGGGGATTAGTACTGCAGTTCTGGGGCTCTAGCAGGGGAAAAGCAGATCAAGCAGAAACCCCTCATGAACCAAGTGCTTTATTCAGCAAACAAATGGTAGTCCCTTACTTAAAAGATGCCTTCTGTCTCCCAAAAATGATTCAGACCAAGATGACACTGAAGATCATCTGAGCTACATCACTTATGTAAACACCAACTCTGACACTGTTTTTAACCAAGCAGGCTTCATGTCATCAGATCTTCTTCTCCTTTTCGCTTTGGCTTCACACTACAGTGACCAATCTTCAGTTAGGAATCATTTTTGAAGTGTGATTAGGAAAGCTAATGACAGTAACCTCCCAAGACAGGCTGAGCATCTCAGAGGTCCAGCCCACTGCTAATTAGCACACAACAGACCAATGCAAGGAAGTGAATCAGAGTTTCCAATGACACCCATGAAACTCTAAGAGGCATTATTGAGCTTTTACCTTTCCCTGGCTGGTGTGTAGCTCTTACCTAGGGACGAAGCGCCCCAGTGATGGTGCAGACATGCGGGCGTTCCGGGGAGCTCGGTGCCGTGATCTGTCTCCATTGTCCCTTCAGTAGAAGATAAAAAACAAACATTACATATTATGAAAAATCCCCAGAGAGAAATTTTCAGGAAAGAAGCATCTGCAACTTTAGTGTACTACCCTGAGTGATGCCAACAAGTTCTGGGGACACATGCTTCTCATGTGTTGCACTCCTAATGCATTTAATTCACACAAGACTCCCAAAGCCCTTTTACACACCTGCTGGGGGGCAGCAGGAAATGAGGTGCACAGAACAGGGAGACAGGCTCAAAGGATCAAGTAACTTGCAGCATTTCAGTGAACCAGCAACAGTATCAGAAACTGCAGAAACCACAGTTCTTAAACTATTGATAGTTAAAACAACTCCACCAGGATTAAGGGCATTTAGAAAGTCAGTTATGGAGCAGGTTTAATTAGGCGCTGTTTAGCCCATCTCTGGAAATGTTAGTATAGAACTGCTCCTCAAGTCTCTTCTTTTTTGGGGTCAGTTTCCAATGACTCCACAGCCTCAGACAACTGCGCACAAAGCAAGTTTTTTCCAGATAAGTTAAAGGTGCTAGAAACAACCCCAGCTACAATGTCATGACCCTTCAAACCACTCGAGCGTTCTTTGAATGAATGGAGTAAATGGCCCCACTGTATCATCAAGTCATGCAGCCTAAATACACTACCCTCATTATTTGCCTAATAGCTTAATTACGCTACAATGGCAGCAGGCTGCGGAAGTACCCCAAAAGGAACTGGACACCATCTCTGAACATATAGTTGGCTGTTAAGTAAAGAGTGGGGATGTTCCTAAAACTGACTTGTTGCATGAATTTGAGTAAGCCTGTTCTCCTTGGGCCGCAGAGCACCACCTATATTTTGGAATATCTATTAACCTTCCAGTAAGTCGTGGGGTGAAGGTAACACTTGCTGAGCAGTCTGTAGGAGAGAAACATTAAACGTTATATCTCTGCAGCAACAGGATCTCTAGAATGCTAGGTCCTTCACATGCAACAAATTCTTAAGCAGTGAAATTCCTAACCCACTCCAGCAAGCTGTGCACATAGTTTGTTTTCATCAGTGAGTGAGGAAATGTGGGCTGAAAAGAAGGGCCCATTACATGGCTGTTTCCCACGCATTTGAGGAACCAGGAACAGAAGAGCAGAGGTTGTACTGCCTTACTCATTAGCATTTTTAACTTTCCTGCAGCAAAAGCAAAGCCCAGAGAAGGCACCACCTGTCTGCCTAAGGAAGCCGCATCCCTGGAATGTAGCAAAGCAAGACTTCAAGTCCATAGTTGACATGTGAACTGCAGGGCTCCTGAAATATGTCAAAAAAAAAAAGTTGCATGTGTGGCTCCTGGCCTATTATGACATGGAAGAGCAGCAAGAAGGCATGGCAATAAGGATGCTGTATATCAGCATTCAATTTCACTCTCCTGTCAAAAAAAAACAAACCCACAGTTATTTTCCCCTTAATGTTCTTCCCACCATCTTGTGTCACTGCAGGACAAGGGACAGCACAACACAATAAAGCCTGCTGTACTAGTTAAAGCTAGTAAGAGACTCAGACAAATTAATCATTCTTTAAAATCTACATGTACAGGCCTCAAATTGTACTGATATTTGGTCCTGAGAGGAGAGGCAGAACTGGTCCACAGACAGTCCCTTAGACCAGCAATGCTAAATCATCTGGTGGAGTTAGATACCACTTCCAGCACAGGTGAACAGCAACAAGGGGGAAGCCAGCAGGACTGAACTCCATAAAACTGTAATCAGAAGAATTTCTAAAACAGGTTTGAAAAAAAAAAAAAACAAAAAAAAAACAAAAACAAACAAACAAACAAAAAAAACAAAAAAAAACAAAAAAAGAGAAAGGGATTCAGGCAGGGAAAAATAAAGGGAAAACTGAAGGTGTAAAGCCCTAGAGTTTCCATTGCAACTTGGTTCAGACCTAAAGCACCAGAGTGACCAATTATTCATTTTGATTTTTAAAATCTCTCTCAAACAAACCATTAAAGGAACTTCAACAACTCAGTGTCTCAAGAAAAACTCTTTCAATCCCAGACCTCTCCCACTACACACCACAGCAACCCATTCAATCCTCTTACTCTCCCTACTTTCATCACAGAAAAGAGGCTAAGAGAAGGGACAGGCCTTGTAATGAGAAATGAAGGTAAAAAACATGCAAGCTTTGATAAATCAAATCCTCCAATGTCAATATTTCACCTGCATTCCCCCCATACCTCAAAAAATCTATGCCATACCCCCAGCAGTAGGAGGATTTGGTATAAGAAACACTGATCAAGTCCTGAAGAATGGCAGAGTCCCAATGACTGCAGTCTACAGGGCAGGGTGGAGGGGTGGGGATAAATTTCATTAGAAGATCATATAGACAGCATGGAGAGGGTCCAGAGGAGGGCCACTCGCATGATCACGGGACTGCAGGGCAGGCCCTACGAGGAGAGACTACGGGACCTGAACCTGTTCAGCCTCCACAAGAGAAGGCTGAGGGGGGATCTTGTGGCCTATTACAAACTGGTCAGGGGGGATCAGAAGGCATTGGGGGAGTCACTGTTCCCCCGAGCACAGCCAGGAGTGACCAGGAACAACGGTCACAAGCTAGCAGAGGGTAGATTTAGGTTAGATATCAGAAGGCGCTATTTCACGGTCAGGGCGGCTAGGGTCTGGAACCAACTTCCAAGGGAGGTGGTGCAGGCTCCTACCCTGGGGGGTTTTAAGAAGAGGTTAGATGAACACCTTGCTGGGGTCGTCTGACCCCAGTACTCTTTCCTGCCATGGCAGGGGGTCGGACTAGATGATCTTCTCAGGTCCCTTCCGACCCTAGAAACTATGAAACTATAAAACAGGAAATAATACAAGCAGACACAACCTCATTAGATTGAGTATCTTATAGAATCTCCTGCATCTAGTCCCATGCTTGCCACCATGTACTGAATGCCTCCATGTTATCCAAGTGCCTTCAGTGTCTAATGACGAAAAGATGAAGCAGCTGGTGTTACCCTGGTGCCAGATGAAGATTATTTCTGCACCTACTAAAAAGGAAAATAAAAAACCCTACAGATTGGTGAAGACGGGTGGCACTTTCTGTGTTATTTCTGTACCACATACAGTCTGCTGACAGAGTGGGGAGAGCAGATGTTAACACGACTTCAGTGCCAATACAAAGTACTGTTGCAAGAAATGAAACAAGTTCCCAAAGTTTGCCAAAGAACTAGCAGGGACCTTACACTGCATCCAGGCAGCACACACAGGTGCTACCTCAGCTTAGAATTTAGCTCTCCAGTGTCAGCTGATTATCAGACTCACCAGGTAGGCTGGAAGCAACAGAAAGACTTGAGTACAATTCACTGCAAAACACACAAGGTGAGAAAGTGAATTGCACCTATAGAGAAAACAGCTTCCCCTAGAAAGCATCCCAACAGCATCCCCGTCAAACAGAGATAAAATAAAGGAAACAGGGAGCTGCTGCCTCCCAGGTGGCAGAATGTGTGCCATAACAAGGCCAGAGTATCCTAAAGTATCCTGGCTTATTATTATCCACGCCAACAAATCAGAAGCGAAAGGGAGGATTTGTGCAGCAAAAAAAAATCATGGCCATGAAACAAAGCAGGGGAGTCTTAGCACTATAATTAGTACACAGACTATAATTCCTCTGAAAAGGAAAGGAAGCAAGGAACAAGCAGCGACCAACATGGCTTCATGAGTTACTGACTCAAAGAATAGAAGCTCTGAATAGCTAACTTGCTCTGGTATCAAAGTTTGGAGCAGAAATCTCAACAGCAATATGAAGAAAAAAGTTTACAGAAAAAAGATAATGGTAACAACAGGTTAATGCCAACATGGGGTGTAAGGGCAAAAGAGAAGACATCATGCAAGTATAATCAAGGAGATAAGAGGGGAATTCAGTTCATTAATAACACAGGAGGCAAATGAGATTATCCAACTGACTAAGAAAGAAAGATCTGCTTCTTTAAAAGCCAATAAATAAAAGTAACAGTGACTTGACAAACAAGGACTCACAGAAAGGTACATGGAATACCAAAACATGGCCATCTCGAGTAAGGAAATCAGCCAATTAACCAATGCACTTGTAATTTAAATAAACAAAGAAATAATTAAGAATACAGCAGGCATAGAAGACCAGAGAAAAGCAAAACAAGGAAAAAAAAAGAGGGATTCTGACAATTATTGTCCTGTATTTTAAATGTTTTCTTGATAAAACAAACATTTCTAACCATTTAGGGTGGGTCTGTATTGGTCTAATTCCAACTCTAACACGCTGTTGAGTTGATCTAACTGCTTCCACTATAGTTCATGTTAAAATTTCTGCTAAATACACTGGATGCAGAGCTGAGTCAATGCTATTTTTTTTAAATCCTGGTTAAATTTATGAGGGGCAAAAGAAATGAGCAGCACAGGTTCATCAAAATCCAACCCTGCCAGGCAAACCTTATTGTTTTTATACAATTATTAAGTTAGCAGATCAAGACAATACAGTAGATGCACTAAAATCCATATTTAGAGCATTTTACACTGTTTCATGAAATCTAATTTATAAAGTTAGATCAATTTGTTTCATAATTTAATCACATTTCAATTTCAATCACAAAGGCTGGAAACTGAAGGACAGTACAGAAAGCAAAATTATAAATAATTGGTAGAGGTAGCTTCTAATTAAATGCTGCAGGCCTTGACATTGGACTCTGTTTTACCATTTTCTTTAATGATATTGTGGAGAATGCAGGCCATTTTTATGTTTTTTCAGTGAATATTATAAACCTCTTCTTGCTTGTTAGATATGACTGCATGGAGTTAAATCAAAGGAGATTTAACAGAAATAAAACAGAAAACTGAATAGTGACAGAGATAAGATACCTACAGAGAATACAAAGGACCTACAAGAGTACAAAGTGGAAAGCTGAGGATAGGCCAGGCCAGCATATTTACTCTCTCAGGCCTGAGCATGGGATCAAAAGGGATAGCTGTTAAACCCCACAGCTAACTGAACTGTTAAACC